TGATTTGCTGACATAATTTTTTCTCAATTATTTCTTTTGCGACGATTGCGAAAAACATTTGCTAGCAAATTTTTGCTAACAAGATCGATCCTGGACATATCTCGTGTACAGAGATTCTCATTCAGTATTCTTGAAAAATTAACAGAGGCGATAAACGAATTAGGGACAATAGAACACCAGAATGGCGTTCTAAAATTTTCTCTTGGAGCTAGATTACTTTTGTGTTTGAGTGCATTTGCATAGCAGTTTACACTTTTTAACGTGTTTCAACCCTTCCATATATTAGAGCAAGACAACTTTAATTAATCTGCCAGGTATATGTTGAAGATATATTTTTGTGCGGTATATTTCCTTGCTATGCAAAAGACTCTATCATACTGTGTGATACTGTTTAAGTGTGTCAAGGTTCGTGAATGCTAAGAACGTCTTCTAACTAAATTAAACTTTACTACATGGTCGTGCAAAGGTAAAAATGCACATTGCCACGAGAGGATGCAGTGCTCTTCCGTTTTTACTTTATATCATTTATGCTTTTAAAAATGGTTAATTAAAACGTATTAGTTTTCCGAGTCGCGCAAAAGAATATTTTCCCGAGAAAGCCATTGTCGATAATTCGAAGTGTTTTTTTTCTTAACCAAGGTTAAAGTATAGCAAAGAAGAGAAGGAGAAAGTGTTGTCTTTAAACTTGACGTTAATTAGCCCCGATTACAGTAATGCGGTTTTGTTTTGAATTCTTGTACGTTCTGCCCTAATAAGATCGTGTTTTTAAACACGTTTAAATTCGACAATGCTCTGCTAAAACCTCTCTCCAAAAGTGTCAACCTGGAAACTGCGGTTTGCGTCTCACGTCTCTTTCATTATAACAGTTGCAAGTTAGTTTTTAAAGAAATCAGCAGAAATTTGATGACCAGGGGCGTAGCCAGCTTTTCAACTAGTTGTAGGCCTGGCTGACTTTCATTTCCACATAATCAGCTCCTGTCGGTGCATAGTACGTTGAATCCTTCCTTGTTACAGTAGGGCTGTAACGAGGCCCGAGACTGATATTCAGCCCAATTAGTTAAACCCTTTGTTTTAATGTCAGTCGTACTGTTTCTGTTCCCTGGGGTACTACACCAGGGGTGAAGTTGGAGGGCAGGGGAGGGAGGGGCAGTAAAGAACGCGAAAGGGAAAAAGGAGAGTTGCTTTTATCTCTTCAGTTCCCTCTCCCTTTTCCCTTTTTCGCGACGCCCCCTTCCTATCCTAGAGGCCAGAAGTAGTCGGTCATATCAGCACTGTCTAAATTGTTTTTATTTTTGTTTTGCAATGAATCCAACTTCAGTGATTCGCAATTGTATTGTAATTAANGAGAACAAATTTAAAATCAGTTCATGCCATATTACACCACCTCCATAACCACGTCGTTTTTACTTTTTCTTGTATCCGGAGATTTTTTAGAGTTAGTTTGTTTTTGTTGCAAAATTACACCGTGGAAACAAGAAAGTGTAGGACGTAGGTTAACCATGCAACTCACGAATTATGAAATAAGTTCATGCTGTTAGACAATGTACATGAAGAAGTCATCTTCCCTTTTTTATCGCGTACAAAGATTCTCATAAATTGTTCTTGAAAATTGAACAGAGGCGAAAAAGGAATGAAAGACACAACAACAATGATGGCGTTTTAAGAATTTGTCTCGGAGTTCGATTACTTTTGTTTTCTGATACAAATGCTCAGCATTTGACACTTTTTAAGTTGTTTCTACCCTTCTACATTTTAGAGCAAGAGAACTTTAATCTTCCGGATATTGAAGGGATAACAAAAATGTATTTTGTGTATATTTTCTCGTTGAGCACAAGACTGCATGAAAATATTGCAAATATTGCAAATATTGCAAATGTACATTCGCGCGTGAGGATAAACGCTATCACATTTTGACTCGATCTATAATACAAAAGGTAATTTAAAACTTACTGGTTTTCCGAGTCGCGCAAAAGAGTATTTTTCTGGGAAAGCCATTGTAGATAGTTCTAAATGTTTTTGTTACCAAGGTTAATGGACCGGAAAGAACAGAGGGAGGAAGTGTTTTCTGTTAAAGCTGACTTTATCCCCGTTTATAGTAATGCGGTTTTGCTTTGAATTTTGTTCGTGTTTTTCAAACGTGGAAATTTGACAGCGCTTTCCAAAAAACGGACATTTTTAAAAAGGGAACCTTAAATCCTTAATATAATAGTGTGGACAGCAAAAGGCTAAGTTCATTTGTTTTCCTTAAGTCTGATCCAGTCAATTAATAGTCTGTGTTATTGTGGGGCTTGTTGCCGATATATTTAAAACATCTTTTACCATCAGACGCTGTGACATCCATTCCCATAATACAAGATTCAGTAGGAACCTTTTAATTGATAAAATTAAGTTAGAAATTTCTAAGGATTCTTTTTTTTTTATAAGGTTTCAGTTAGTTTTAACTCATAGTTTTAGGGATTTTCACTTAGTAATAAAGATTAAAAATTGAAAATGCCTGCGCGGCATAGTTCCTTAATGCTCATTTGAAAATACAACATTGATAGCAGTTGTATAACTAGAGTGGTTAGCCCATTTGAATTTTTTCTATATTTTACTATTTTACCGATTTTTCGCTATAGAGTGTTCCCACTCACGTGGCCAGCATCTATGCAAATTTATTGTCACAAAAGAAAGCTTTTGCATTAGAAAAGATTTCAACTCCCAGAGGATTGGTTTGAGACACCAATATGGCCGCCGTGACGTCATGTGAAAACACTCTATTGTTACCGCTCCTGTACAACTTTGTACGGTGAAGGGAAAAGCCTACCTTCGTCTAGCACATGTTTCCATAAAGTAGTCGATTATAAAAGCCACCATCCTCTTGTATTTGTATTTGTTATTGCCATTCACGGCTAGATGTTATCACCTTTTTTCTTATTCTTTATGTTTTGCTCTTCTTTTTAAATTTGGGCTTTCTTTGGTTTGAGCTTTCGTTTTGCCGATAGAGTAAGTTAACTCTAACTTTAAGGATAATGCTTTGTCGGCTGGTAGGCCCCCCAAAAATCAAAATGATCATAAATCAATTTTCCCAATTGTCCTCAAGCACGTTTGCTAAGTCTTGTCGTCTTATATTCCTTCTATTTATATCTACACAGATAATTTAGACCACAAATATGGACCCTGATGTGGTATCTTAAAGTCGTTTTCATTACGAAGCTGATAGCTGGTTTCATTTTCTTCTAAAATATTCGCTACATAACTAGGCAATAGTTTGTGTTTCACCGTTATACATCATTAAAGCTGTCTTGAAGCCTCTGGTTGTATAGAGTAGTAAGTCCAACTTTCTTGAGAAGTTCTTCATATGTGGCAGATTTTCCCCTAAATACAATGCGAAGAGCACGCTCTTGTGAATCCTTTCGAGTTTTCTTCTGTCCAATATTGCACAGAAGTGCCGTACTGTATGACGATACGTTCAATTAGGTGAAATTGCATATTTATACAAATGAAGTTTAGTTTCTGTAGAAATCATATCCTCTAAACGTGACAGGACTCCAATCTTCTTACTTGTGTTTATAAAGATCTCTTGTATATGTGACCTAAACTTAACTGTCTACACAAATGATTGTAAAAAAAGATAAATTCGTAATACATTTTGGTACAGTGTACTTGCGGTCACATAAGCTCATCGAGAAAATTGCTTAGTTTCGGCCACTAAGGAAATGTAGCTCTTTAAGAGAATGGTAGCAGAACTTATTGGAATTTTAGATTTTCGAGCCTAAAAAGCCATAAGTTGTTATGCTCCTTTTTAGATTTGGCTTATGCTCTTCTTATTTTTCCTGCAAGTCTAAGTTAAAGGAAAATGAATTTGCAGCTGTAAAACAATGTACAATTTTTGTTTTGTTTCTTCTTTTCTTGCTTTTTTTTGTATGAAAAGTATCGTGAAAACCGGTTGGGGTGCCCGTTACCCGTGGTAACAGTCGCTTTAATTAATTTACGAAAAACTCCGTTCCTTGGTCGGTTTCCTGATTCAGTCAGTTTTGACCTGAGACGATACTTGTGTGATGGAAATGATTCAACAAAAGNACAAATGATTGTAAAAAAAGATAAATTCGTAATACATTTTGGTACAGTGTACTTGCGGTCACATAAGCTCATCGAGAAAATTGCTTAGTTTCGGCCACTAAGGAAATGTAGCTCTTTAAGAGAATGGTAGCAGAACTTATTGGAATTTTAGATTTTCGAGCCTAAAAAGCCATAAGTTGTTATGCTCCTTTTTAGATTTGGCTTATGCTCTTCTTATTTTTCCTGCAAGTCTAAGTTAAAGGAAAATGAATTTGCAGCTGTAAAACAATGTACAATTTTTGTTTTGTTTCTTCTTTTCTTGCTTTTTTTTGTATGAAAAGTATCGTGAAAACCGGTTGGGGTGCCCGTTACCCGTGGTAACAGTCGCTTTAATTAATTTACGAAAAACTCCGTTCCTTGGTCGGTTTCCTGATTCAGTCAGTTTTGACCTGAGACGATACTTGTGTGATGGAAATGATTCAACAAAAGCACATTCATTAAGAAACTGCGTTTCTTGTCTTGTCAATGAAACATTTTATTTCATTTCAGTCCCACAACTCCCTTGTTTAAGATTTACTTTTAAACCGCTTACAATCAGAAATCAACAGTTTCTTAGTTACTTTTTACGGCCGTTTGAGGGTTGTTTCTCGGCATTACAGCTGTTATTGAACCAATATGTATCCCATCGCTTTAATGTGCTGGTCGCCATTATCTCCCCCGGCTACAGCTTCATTGCCACACGTGTAAGAGTCATCGTGGTTCCCTCCGGTGTCAAACCCGATCCGGGAGTCAGCGCTTCCACAATCATTTTCGTTGTTTCCAACGATACCAATCCTCGCCTTAGCGAAGATGCTATTTATAGATAGTACGTTGAATCCCTCCCCGTTACAGTTGGGTTGCAAAGAGGCCCGAGAGCCAGCCAGTGAGCTTCTTCCACATGTTACGGCCCAGTGAAGTAGCTACATGGATCTGGCTTGATGATTGATGACAACAGACTTGAACTGCTGACCTATCTTCATTGCAAGACAGATCTTGTTAAACGGCGTGTTCCAATAAGTCGGTAACTTGGTCTCGTGAGCGTCCAACCCAGTCTTCCCTCCTGGAAGGCTGAAGTCCACTTTGTTGCTCCACAGTTTAGAATTGTAGTGAAATGTTTTTTGAGAACACAAAAAACAGCAATGAACTCTGTAAGTCCTTATTATGTCAATCTCCTATTATCCTACTCATACTTTGTCTGTTACTGCTTACAGTGAGTTGATACATCATTGATTCAACAATTTTTAAACCTAACCTCACCAGATTTCCTGTCTTACCCCTTTAACTTGACTCTGGACTTGCACTGTAATTTTGTCTTTAGAATGAAAATTAAGTGATGACAAACCAAGCTAGATGTGAAAACATTGATCTTTAAACACCTTTGAGCCATCGATCTTCATGACCAGCGTCCATCCACCTCCTCCGCATGCATCAAGCCCTTGACTGGTCATGTGACAATATACGGGAGTCTTTCTAGATCCAACATCCAGCAGGCACGCTTTTGTTTGCTCTGGACCTGGTGAAACGTACTAGCCATTTTTATCCAGAGGAAGAATTTTATTACATATAAATCGCTATGATAATTTGAAACGCTGTCTCAAAGTCTAACATGGTCCTTGGATAATCTAAGAATAACAAATAACGTCGTCATCGCTAAATTCGACGCTCCATACGAGTACTGTAAATTTTCTTCTTTTCCAACCATCAGTTTTTCGTTCAGTCTGTTACTTTGATAGTACCAATCCCAGATCGGGGTTTGTTTCTTGATCTGTTGCTGACGTACACCATCTGCTTATGTTCAATTTTTGCTGCATTGTGGTAGTTTCCTATGTCTGCGAAATTTCTTTATACTAAACCAGTGGTCGCTTTATTCATTTGTCACTTTCAACCTTTGTTTCCTTCTTACTATTTACCTTTTCAAATTTGTACGTCACTGATTAAAGAATATTTGCAATTTTGTTTACTTTAAATCAGTTGCAACAGTTAATACAAAACTTCCTTACTTTTCTCCCTGTTTTCTTGGGAACTTCGTTATGTTCAGAGTTTGGATAGGTGTGCGGAATACCTGATATATTGCCTGGAGTTTTACGTAAGTTTGGTATTTTGCGTTTGTCAATGGAGATATGTGTAAATTAACGGCGTTAGAAGGATGTATCTTTTACACTTACATGTTTTTTTCATAAATCTCTGTGCACGTTGAAGCTGTTACTGGCGAATTAGAAGACAGTGTTAGCCATATCAAGATAACCTACGGGGAACTTCAAAATTCTTACAAAGGCTGTTTATTAACACGAATATTTAACGTCAAATAACACCTCGCGGAGTAAAATTTTACTTCGTGGTTTCATTTCATTCTTTGCTTTCAGTATCAGCATAGCTTTGTTTGCGCTGTGTCAAACAGCTTTAAAAAAAGTAAACAAACAAAAACAAAAGGGAAGGAAAGAAACTAAGAAAGGAAAAACTACGAAACTTTTCGAAACTTACTTTTGTAGTATCTTTCTGTTCATTCTTCAGCTTGTAGTCCAGCAAGAAACTGTTTTTATCTGTTTCTAAATGGAGGATATTTTTTAAAAGCAATAATCTTACTTGGATTAGGAGAAGTTTGTAGCAGTTTAATTATCTGATCCAGCTTTTCATCGAGTTTCTTGATAGCGTCGTTAGTTCCAACGTCCGTTCCAATGTACTGATTGCACACAACCGTTTCACCGTCTATTCGAGTTTTCTAAATGGCTGAACGTATGTATACTGGAGATGAATGTTCCGTCTAGACCAAGAGACTATAAAGGGGACAGAGAGGCCATCCCCCATATACACCCTATTCCATAGGTAATTCGTCTCGAGTTATTTTTAGAATCGGGATAAAGTTACCTCGCGCGAGGCGTGGATGTTTCGTGGAGGTTTCGCATGACCAAACTTCGTGCAAAACATGTCGGGCGAGAGGCAATGAAAGCGTAAAAAGATCGAGAGCATTCCTGAATATTGAAGCGAAATGAGTCGGCGCTCACCTGGGAAAAAGGAATCGCTGGACTCTTTGACAACCCGTGAAATCAGTTTAACTCGAAGTTGTCGTAACCTCAGTGCTTTAATAAAATGAGAAATTTCGCCGGTCTATTGAAACCGGTCGTTTGTACAATTTAGGGAGTTTAAGATCCAACGACGCGGACGACAACTAGAACGTCAAAAAAACAATAGGTTTAATTAGCAAAACAACAACTTCGCACGTGCAACACACTTTTTTGTTCATTTCTTTCCCGTTTTTGCACGACTACGACGTGAAAATGCCTAATTTCGCGTTTTATGGAGGACGTAAATAAGCAACGACGAAATTTTATTTCTCTTTCTGAGCTTGAATATGGTCCCTTGAAATTCAGCTTTAGGAGGGTTCGCCTACAATTGACAAAGTAAGTGGGTAGGAATAATCGCTATAAAGACTGAAAAAAATAAACATCAAACCAGAAATTGCTCTCTTCAAACTGTAAATTATAAATGATCCTGAGAGAATATTCAGTGTGTTAAGGATTTCCCTGCTCTACTGTTAGCTCTATACAAGAGAGGAAGGGCGATTCTTTTTTAATTTCGGTTTCGCTGACACAGCTTTCGCAGAAATCTCGCTGTAGTCGTTTTCGTCGACAAAAGGAATAGCAAAATCGCTCTCCGCGTCTTCCCCCATTTTGTTCTGCGTCATTTCGTGAAGGACGCGTGGCTCTCAGCGTGGGTCATCCACGCGGAACACATTCTCGCTATGTGATTGGCTGTTGTTTAATCCCCTTCGAGATCTGTGGTGTTAAAAATAACTCGAGACGAATTACCTATGGAATAGGGTGTATATGGGGGATGGCCTCTCTGTCCCCTTTATAGTCTCTTGGTCTAGACGAATTATCCTTCTGACGAGAGATTCGTTTAAGTATAAATCCGTAAGACGAATTTAGACGAATTCTCGAGGAAATTTATCCCAAAAGGCTGGGAATGAAATATAAACAAAATGGCTGCCTTCATAGCTCTTTCGATCAATAGCTAAGATAGAGAAAAATGGCAGTAGTTCAGTTTAACAGTGTGTTAACAGCGTTTCAGCGTAATAGTATTTTAACTAAGTCTTTACTTCAGTGAAAACACAATAGTTCAATAACTTTGCCAGAAGTTCAATAATCACACATTTGTTGGATGACTTTTCACACAGCTAGCTTTGTTTTAAACCAGGGAAAAAGATGCTGGCTCTTGATACGGGGCGAACTCTTCGTTTTCCGTCTAGATATAAATTCAAAGACGGATTATCAACCTCAGACGTCTGACAAACGAATCAAGAGAAGACGAATTTTGGCCCAATATTTATCAAAACACCGGATTTATATCGAGACGAATTATTCGTCCGAGAAGGATAACTTGTCTCAGGAGGAGAATTCGTCTGAAGTATAAATTTGGCTAATGCTTATAGGAATGTGTACAGAGTTTACGGAACTCATTTATGAAAATTTTAGGGTTGTAAACCTAACACGTCTTTATTTGTTGTGTTCCTTTTTATATTTGGTCCTAGTTTCTTGCTTGTTGTGGTTTTTAGTGATCTGTATGAAGTATGGTTAACTCTAACGTTACGAAAAACGCTTTTTCCACTGGTGGGCCAAATTTTAACTTTTTTCTATAGAACTGGTCTTTTGTTCTTTTCTTTTTAATTATTTTACGAAGTAAGCAAAATTTCAAGGTTGACGAAAATCAACTCAGTTTCTCGCCTTTTACCAGCCTGAATTTCAGCCGTTTCGTCAAGTCGCAAACTCCCGTGAGAGATGTTTGCGACTTGAGGAGACGTCTGAAATTCAAGCTAGTTTTTTTACATGGCGCGAGCAGTTTTCATAATACTTCGTTCCGCGCTTGTTATCCGGATATAGTTTTTGACCAGAGACGATACTAATGTAATGAAAATGATACACTGCAGAGAACTACATTCAGTCATCAAAGAGGCAGAGTTTCTGGCCTTTTAATGCAAAATTTTTTTTCACTTTATTTTTACAAATTCCTTATTCAACCCCTTTTTAAAAATAATTAACAGTTTCTTAGCTGCATTTTAAGGCCGCTTGAAGGCTGTTTCTGCGTATTACAGCTCTTACTGGACCAAAATATATCCCATCGCTTTATTATGCTGGTCGCCATTTTCTCCCCCTTCAGAAGCTTCGTTGCCACACGTGTTAGAGTCATCTTGGAACCCTCCAGTGCCAAACCCGATCCCGGAGTCACAGCTGTTACAATCATTTTCGTTGTTGCCAACAATACCAATTCTCGCTCTGCTACCACCACTACACAGTGTGTTGAATCCTTCCTTGTTACAGTTGGTCTGCAAAGAGGCCCGAGACCCAATGAGCTTCTTCCACGTGTTACGGCCCAGTGAGGTAGCTCGGTATTTGCCATCTGCGATCAGTGAATACAGGGATCTGGCTGGATGGTTGATGACAACAGAGGTTAACTGGTGTCCAACCCTCATTCCAAGACAGATCTTGTTAAACGGTGTGTTCCAATAAGTGGGTAACTTGGTCTCGTGAGTGTCCAACCCAGTCTTCCCTCCTGGAAGGTTGAAGTCGAGTTTGTTGCTCCATAGTTTAGAATTGTAGTGAAATGTTTTCTGAAAAAAAATCAGTTAACTCATTCATAAAGAGTACTATCACTTTGCTGTTTTATCTGTTTGAGAAATATGATACAGTCTCGTCTCGGTTTTTCTTGTTTCGAAGTCCTCACATATTATTCTCTTCATTCTTTGTCTATTACTACTTACAGTGAATTGAGCTAAAACTTTTCAAACCTAAACGTAATAGATTCCCTTTCTTTCAGTTGACGTGGACTTGTGATTTACATTGTAAGTTTACCTTTATATTGGGAATTAGGTGATGACAAACGTGGAAACTGGTGAGAACATTTAACTTAATACCTTTGTGCCATCGATCTTCATGACCAGCGTCCATCCGCCTCCTCCGCATGCGTCAAGCCCATGCTTAGTCATGTGACAGTATACAGGAATTTTTGCAGATCCAACATCAAGCAAATACGCTTTATTTTCACTGGACCTGTCAAAACATACCACTTTACTGATTACTCCCAGTTTGTTTGTTTGTTTTCGTTAAAGTTAGGACGACATGGAAAATCTGAATTCTCGTAAACGAAATCTGTCTTATCAGATAAGCAATGTTTGGCCGAAGTTGAATAATCCTATAAAAATATCGAGTAGTTTTGTTATTACTGACTTTGTCGATAAGAAGGACTCTTCTTTACCGCCATATATATGATAACTATTCAATCCTCTTAATTTAGTGATTTATAATCTATCCTTCCAGCTTGAGTGTTTCGTAAATTGTCTGAGTTTTCTATTTAATTTTAATTCTTTTTAATTCTTATCTTCTTATTATTTTCTTACCATTTTCTTATCGGTATTTTAGTTTATTTGTAACCATTAGTGCACCAATTTTCACTTTGTATTTTCCAAAATACTGAAGAATATTCAGAAGCAATTCTCTGGGTTTCCCGTTTGTGACCATAAAGGCCAGTCTTTTTTTAAAGATCTAATCTAAATCAGTTCAAGGTTTAGTGTTTTAAGGGTTTTAGCACTGCAATGTTTGCCTACATCAAATGAAACCCACAATAATAATTTTCCCTAGAATTTAAGCACTCTTAGATTTCCTTTACCTTAGTTACATAAATTTACCGATACGAACATTTATTCTGTAACCAATTCGTTTTTTTTGGAAGTCTTTGTTATGACTGTTTGTAGACGTATATACTTACAAATTCTTGGTATAGATTCCCTTGCACGTTGAAGCTGTGGGACCGAAAATAAAAGGATATAAAGCGTGTTATTTGTAAAAAGAAGACTTTCCACACCATTCTGTAAGAAACACTTTGAAAAAAGTGATTTTTTCATTGTTTGTATTCGGGTTAATCGCTCCTGAAGTCTCGAACTATTTCATAATGAATTCATCACAAAACGCTGTTCAAAGAATTTCTTACCGGTATTAGGAGAAGGCTGTAGCATTTCAATTATCTGATCCAGTTTTTTGTCGATTTTCTTGATTG